TTTTTCAGTTTTATCACATTTTAAACTAGACATAAAAGAACTATCCCCCCCCCAATATTGTTCCACATGACACATAGGAAATAAAGATACAATTTAAAATGCATGAAAATTATATATTTTTAAAAACATTTGAGTTAGCTGGAGATACACACGTATTAATGAAATTACTTTTGAAAATATAGGGCGGGACAAATATTTTTTAAAACCTTATGCAATTCAGTCACAGAATAGACTACAGTCAAAAGTAGTTAATCCAGACACCCATAATCTGGAATGATCTATAATCCGGACCTCAAAGCTACAAACTTTCTGCATAATGCGTTCAGGCATGCGCGTAATACGTTTACGCATACGCGTTTAATGTATAACGGATGGTATAAACTAAGCTAAAATTATCTAATTATCTACTTCAGTTAATGTTGCAGATTACGTTGTTCCTTAATCTTCGAATTGGATCCGGCTTATTATTTTTTGCAGACTGTTAGAGCAATTTTATAAAAGAAAGCTTGAACTTTCGATTATGTCAAATAGAATTTCCGATATATATCTACTAATATGTAAAGGATCTACAAAGCGAAAGTATGTTTCGATGTCCATCAAACAAAAAGTGGAATTGCTGCAAAAAATGGATAAAGGCATATCCTTTGTTTCTCTAACCATTCTGAAATCTGTTTATCAATTTCACACTGCTCTGCGGGGGGGGGAACGTCGCAGCACGCAATGAACTGGAAGTTGATCTGTGAGCACTATCCTTATCTTCAGGGCAGATGTTTTCATTTTATTCAGCTTATAATTCCTTACTAAATGTAGTATTTCATCTCGATGTATTCCGTCTTTGATATGATTTAAATCAAATTCCTCGTCATTATAAATATAATACGCATCAAATAGTTTTCTTGTTGCAATTTTCTAATTTTGACTATGCGTAATGTATGCTTTACACATGCGCGCGTTGAAAGAAATGCTTAATAAAGTAAACAAATAAATATTAAGCTCTTCTTTTTGTAAATTTTGATACCCTTTAGATCATAATTGCTCTTTATTTCATAAATTACGGTTTCATATTTTTAATTTTATAATTTCTGCATGCCATCTTACCAGATTTAAACTGATGATCTATAATCCGGAATCGCCTAAGTCCAGACGAGTCCGGATTAAAGACTTTTGACTGTATTATTATATTGAATTTCATCATTTAAATTTATTTAGAATGAAAGGGGGAGACAGGACACCTTTTTATTTCCAGCTGAAGAAATGGACAAGCTATTCAAGAAAGCTCCAAAAGAACTATAATCACAAAGTTTAATGTACATGACTTTTATTTTTATCCTACAATTTAGTGTTTTTAGAATAAAAAACAATAATTCATTAGTAAACATGATTTCAATCTGATGCATGGATTACATATCTGAAATTGATATTTTCTTTAAAAATTTTACATTGTTACTTCTTATAGTCCAAACTTAAAACATACATTCCATTAAAATTCTTAACATTTGCCTCAGTTGCTTTAAAAAAAACTGACTACAGCCTGTTACTTTAGAATAGACATTTCAAGGCTATTCTCCCACCAAAACAATACGGTACTATAGTAATGACTGTTGCAGAGAAAAAGGTTGAATCCTCTAATTGTTTAAAATCTCCCAATGCCCTCTGTGAAATGATGACAACACATATTAAGATAAAAATGAGGAAGGATAACTGTTACCTTAAAGTACCTATTTTTAAGTAACATACATGAGCTCATATCCATTATATTGGAATCAACTGTGTATTTCAGATTCCAACTAGATTTCATTATTGATTCATACTGAATCACTCAGTCAAGTCACTTGTAAGTATAAACAATGACTTAAATTAAGAAAAGAAGAAAAATAACAAAATATCATTAGAAAAATCTTAACACAGAAAAATTCTACCAAACATAATTTGGTTAATCTTTGGATTATGGTAACTTGGTGATTTTTTGGCGACCAGCCCTGCTACAGCAACCTGCTAGTTTTTGTTTGGACGCCATTTTGTTTTCACAAAGTAAACGCATGTTTTTTTTTTTTTTTTTTAACTCAACCTTTTTTTTTTTTTCCAACAATCTGCTAGCCGAATTACGCTTATGCTAAAACTTTTATGGAACAAAAGTGCTTAATCACGACAAAGATTAGGTGCGAAATTGGGAGAAAGTGCAGAATCGCAAATTGCTTGCCACGTTTTTAAGAACTGCACATAGACGGTAACCATGTACACATCGACCTATTTTCACTTTAAAAAAATCATCCCAGAATTGCACAATAATGGCATTGCGCGCACTTTTGACTTTATCTATGTACACTGCTAAAGTCCTAGCTAGTAATCTTTATCGCCTTACCAAAATGTTGCCAAACTACCTGTTACTATATTCCAAAGATTAGCCCATAATTTTTCAAAATACTTGTGAAGAACGTTCATAGCTAGTTTATAATCACAATATTACTGTCAGAAGTATTTTCCTAGAGCTAATAGTAAATTCTTTAAAAATGTAAAAACCAAGTTTATCAGTAAGTAACTGGACTTTCAAAAATAAATTAAACAATATTAATATTTAAACCATCCTTCGCAACATACTTCAGTATTAATTTCTTTTACTTCCTCCTCGTTTCAGTGGTTTTAATTTGAAATTTTATTGCTTTAATTTATTACTTTATAACCTTTTAGGTAAAATCCTAGTATACGGTGCAGCCTTGGCGCGATTTTGAAAATTATCGCCAACACCAAAAAATGATCCAAAGAACGTCTATGTATATAGACTATACACTATATACTATGTGTGTATATACACTATATACATAGTATTATGCTATGTATAACTATATATATTCTTTTGAATGACCCGTTTACTACTCATCGTATATGTCCCGTTTTTACTGCTCATCATAAAGTCGCCAAATCCCGTGTGCACCGAATACTAGGATTAAACCTACTTTTAGACATTCACTGCATCTTTAAAATATTATTTTAAACTGCATTCAGTATAGCCATCCATCACACTTCATACAATGGTAACTAACTACATGGAATTATACCTAAATTAAAATCCTTATTGCATTTTCATTCATTATGATCATGATATTGTTATCATTTCTGTGTTTATTACAATCTATATACAGCTGGAAACTTTCAGTACACACCTCGTATCATAATTACAAAACAATTTTTTTAAAAACATAACCATGCCTAGTATTTTTGTATTATAAGCTGCTGAAAAATTTCTTACATATCTATATATACAACTAATTAGGATACTTAAGCAAACAACTTAGTGCCATCTATCTTTATTATATAAGTAAATTATTACAATGTACTAAAAATTTTATATTTTACTAATGACTAACACTCCCTTGTCCATTTAAAATTTCATATATTATGACAGAATATTTTCCTTATAAAAAGAAATTAACTGTCAATGCTGGAATATACACAAATATGTAAACTATCCTTTCATACACAAGATACATTTCGTACAGAAATACTTAGTGTATAAAATGACACACAAATCTTTTCAATTACCTTTAACTGCTAATTTAGTTCAAATAGTTATTTAGTTCCCTCTTAAAATTCAGAAATGTACCAGTCATTCTTTGAAATCAAAATAAAAACATTTTTTATTCGAAAAAGATATGAATGAGCTCTTTTACGAATTATAAATTGAGTATGAATACATATAAATGTGCTCAGGGGTTGGCAAAATGTTTCTTTTTGTCAAAAGGGAAGGGGTAAGGCAGAAGTTCCTAATGTACACATTACCTTTCAATAAAAATTTCAAAACAAAAAAGGGGGAAAAAAAAAGATTATTTGAAACTAATTTTTGAAATATAATCCCTTCTATTCACGGAAATATTTGGCCTGACTTGAATTGCCAGTTTGGCTTAGCCTTATTGCTCCAGTAAAGATGAAACACCTTCGTATTTATTTATTAATTATTGTTCATTGAATGGGAGTTGGTTTGTTCTCCTTGAAAAGTCAACTAATTTCCGACAATGATTACATGCATTTAATTTAATTCTTGCCTTTAATTTATTCCTTTTACAATTGAAATTTTGTTATTCATGATTTAATTCCAGTCCCCGTTAAAACATTTTACTTTCAAGTTACTTCAAAACACCTTTCAAAATATAACTTACTAGTATGGATTCACTCTTTTAAGATAATCCTACTATAATTAAACTTAGGAGATAATGTAATCAATATTATTTAGTAAATAAATTATTATTAACTTACTTTGCAGCAATTGCGCAAGTAGTAGTAACTTGTTTTCACACTAAATGAATTTAAGATCTTACAAATATATATATATATCAATTTATTTAATAGAACAGTACTTTATATATATATATATATAAAGAAGCAGAAAGAAGCGTTTATACACACAACTGCTCTTAGAAACATTCCAGATTATCTAAAGTAGGAATTTAACATCGCTTTACAGATTTCAGAACTCTGTTTTAGATCATGACTTACCGATTGCAAAAAATAAAGCTACAGGGTCAATGACAAAATCAAAACCTACATCTGACATACAAACTGAGAGAAATACCACGATTAAAGTTCTCAGCGCAAGATACAATTCTTAATACATTTAAAAAACACATATATACACAGTTTCATCCATCTGCACAATAATCAGGAGCAAGAAAAAGACACTAAATAGTTTTTTTTTTTTTTTTTTTTTTTTTTTTTTGTTTAATTATACTTTTTAATAACACACATTCGAAATCAAAAACATCAGAAGCAATGAATCCGAAGATCACGATAATTCTGAAGACAAAATATACAGTTTATTAACACGTCTGAAGTTATGTTTAAAGTTACATGATTTTCCGTGAGAAAATATGTCAGATAGTGAGAAAATTTCCTCAATTAAAGATAGCAAAGATCTGTTACTCCATAAACGAAAAAAAATGATGTTATCTTGAAACGGCAGAATTGAAACAAGTGGCTTTTAAAGTGATCTATTTTAGAGGACTAACCTTCACGCCTTCACCAAGGAATACAGTTGTGGCTTTCTGTTAAATTCATTTCTCCAGCGTTATTTCTGTAATCATAACATTCCATTCACAAATTAAATACACAAATTATGTTTGATAAAAATTAAGTGGAAAATTACACATCGATTAATTGATACTGCACTGTGTCTACCGGTCCGGTTACCCAAACCACAGTAGAAATGCGAAAGGTCCGACTAGTTGCGCAGAGACATGTTTTCGAAATTTACGCATTCTCAATGGTGGGCATCAACGCCATTTTGTTTTCGAGCATAATCGGATGGCTCGGTTGAGCATCATTGTAATTTCTGTCGTATCTTGTAACAAGATAAATTTAAATTTGTAATGTATTTTTGTACTTTACTGAACAGTCTTTTAAATATAATTATTCATTTTTATGCAAACTCAATTTTTCGTTGAGAACTAGAGAATCAGTTCGTTTTCTCCTGAATGTATAAGTTAAAATTATTTCCTAATTTGTAATGATTTAATTAATTTTCAGTTCAAAATTATTTTTTAATTATGCCTAACTTTTCTGCATATTTATTGTTGTGTTATAAAACTTAAGAAATTATTTGTCTGGAAGAAATGAAATACTATTTTTCTAATGCCTAAGGACCTCGAAGCCTAAGGGCGAAGCACGTAATAGGTTAAAAAAGAAAACAAAAAAAGTTATGTAAACGGAGATTTCTGCAGAATGGCAGTTGCAGATTTAATAATTTCATAGTTTTCTTTTCTTTTTTTTTTTTTTTTTTTTTTTTTTTTTCATTCAGAGCGTGAAAATTATTTTAAATTGTGATTCATATATTTATGTTTTTTGTTGTAAAAGGGTTTATTTCTTGTCTATGCTAGAAACATTAGTTCTTTTTTAAGATAATTCAAGTAATTTTACATTTCAGTAAATAGGTCACATGATTTAAAAAATATATTTGGGAAAAACTGAAGAATCGCTTACATTTTTTAAAATCGCTAACTAGGCGCGCTCTCGTGTCTTGCCCCCTCCAGAAGACAATACGCAAAAGAGTAACATTTAAAATGGCGAAAAACTAAAATAAATGAGAAAACGTCGTAGAAAAACAATTTTAAAATCTTAAAATCATTGCAAAAATATAGTAGTTTTTAAAACTAAAAACCGTTACAAAACACTGGAAAATGAAAATATTTTCACTTACCTTAATGTAACATAAAAACTGTTTTCCATAATTCCTCCACCCATTATTTTTTAAATTAAGGAAGAGATGACCCGGGCACATCGACGTCTGAAGCAGCTTCACCATCAGAGTCTTAAATTCTTCTTCGGGCATTGGATCGTACATACTTTCGTACAGAAATTATACCAATTGATTAGCATGTGATTAGAAACATTCAGGTCTTCGATTGCATATTTATGAGGGCACCTTCCAAACCACTGTCACATCAATAACAAAACTGTACACATATACAGTTTGCTCTAACCAATCCAAGGTCCTTTCTTACACTCCTACACTAATCGTATCTTTCCTCTTTCATACCAGACTGATTCCATCAAAACCATTAAATATTGCCTTTTTAGCCTTTCTTTCTCCCAGTTTCATATTTTTCCCACATTTCGTACATGCACACGGTGATACGATCAAACTCTCTTTCATACACTATACTAATGCTGCTTTCTTTCCTTAAGCAGGAAACGTGACAAAAAGCTTTTCAGAATACTCAGCACTCTTCAACATGCTTTCATGCAGTTTTCAACAATCCTAATATCATTATAAAGGTTTTAACAGTATCTGTAAAACGTTCTGTAAAGAAATCGAAATTTACCTAAAACCTGCCAGGAGTTATTCACTCCTGATCCACTGACAGGAGTTATCCACACCGACTAAGCTGACAGAAGTCATTACTCATGTCCTGTATCACACACATATATACACATGTATTTACCCAATAATCGGCAGATATTCCACTCTTAGTCTTAACCCTAAAATAATTTTATATCTACAAAGCATACGGCCTATTTTACTATACGCAGTAAGAGCGTGGGCTGGCACAGTTAGAAGCAATAGACAAATTCTGCAGCGACTTCAAAACAAAGCGCTACGAACTATAATGAACAATAGGGGACGAGGGAAGACCAATCACACACATACCGAATTTATTCTGGATTTAAAGGGACATACTTAGTGAAGCTACTAATTAATCTATTCTAACTCTATACCACCGAAGACATCATTTGCATGATGAAATGATTTGAAGGGATTTCGGGAGGTTGCAACTTGATGCGAAACAATCCATTGTTGCAAGAGAGCTGAATGTGCATCGTAATGTCATCACAAGCTTGTGGAATCGTTACCAAACGGACAACATGTGGAGTCGCATCTCTCTGCTGCAGGACGGCCCATATACCCGAAATGACTGCGTGAAGATGGACTGTATTAGGCAGGCAATGAAAGTACAGCCTTAGAGCCACCTTGACACAAACTCAGCTTGCAGGGTCTTAGGGGATCCATCTCTGGAGTCCTATGGCCTTTTATAAATCTCTCTGATAATCACAATTCGGAACAGGGCCCGAGGGATCACCATTCTCTGGTCTTTCAACATTGGAAGGGGGCGCATAATGCCACGCAATTTTTCAGGACCGGCAAAACATCAGTAAGAAAGCTTTGCCATTTAGTAATAATGGAGCACACAGATACACACAGATCGTATTTTATTCTCGAGTGTCAAGATGTAGAAACATCTTTAAGAAACGAGTGTTCGCTATGAAAACTTTTTATAGAGTGATTGCTATTCCAGGGATCATTAGCATCTAGAGCATCATGGTTGGACCTCACGGCTTATGCGATTAAAATATAGGCAAGTAATTTCGAAGTGCTCAACTCTGGAAAAGGTATTCCTCGAATCGCGTTCTAAGGGATCGAAGCCCAGAAATCATTGAAGCTATTTGGCTTGCCATTGAAAGGAATGCTAGCTACTTCGTTCGATGACGCGCCTAATAATGAGGCGAAGAAGGACACAAAAAGTGGTAAATGGCTCATACCTGTAAGTTACAGATTGTACAGAATTTAAATCGTTGAGATGCGTGTTGCGTAAAGGAGTTTGCTCATGACTAAGGCTAACGAGGACATAAATTTCTTTATCAACGTGTGCATATCAGATGATATAAATTGCCTGCCCTGTCTGGTATCTGAAATAAATTTCGTTCTTCCCACAGTGGGGTATTTGCTGGCTAAACATACGTGAAGGAATGTGGTGAAACCTATTGATTATTTTTCATGTGTCATCACTAAAAACGTTGAGCATTATGCACAATAGGGAATGAGGGAAGCCCAATCACACACATAACCGAATTTATTCTGGATTTAAACGGACACAGTGAAGCTAGTAATTAATCTATGCTAACTCCATACCGCCGAAGACACTATTTGCATGATGAAGTGATTTGGAGGGATCTCGGGAGGTTTAAATTTGATGCAAGACAATCCATTGTTGCAAGAGAACTGAATGTCAATCGTAATGTCATCACAAGGTTGTGGAATCGTTACCAAACGGACAACATGTGGAGTCGCATCTCTCTGCTGCTGCAGGACGGCCCATATCTCGCTAAACTATGTTGCGACGACTGCGTGAAGGTGGACTGTACACCCGACAACTTGTGGTTTGCGGTCTTGTTTCCAACGTATGTCAGTGCGAGGTTGAATTGGGCCCGGAACATCACAGATCGACACCAGAGCAGTGGGGTCATATGCTCTTTACAAAGGAGTCTTGATTTAACATCCAGAACCATTCCCGAAGGACGACCTAGCTCTCATAATATCAGAGCTAGGGACACGTTATCAGGCTCCAAACATCATCGAAAGAGAACATTACAGAGGAGGAGGCTTATTTGTATGGGCTGGGATAGCAACGAAGAGCAGCACCGGCGTATGCATGATTCCTAGTGGTCTCCTCACAGTCGTTCGATATCGCGATGAAGTTCTATATAATCTTGCGCGTCCTTTTATCACTGCAATGGGTACCGACGCGATATTTATGGACGATAACGCCCGTCCGCATAGAGCTCGAGTGGTGCGGAGTTATCTAGACAGTGAAACGATTCCACATATGTCGTGGCCTGCTAGATTACTGGACCTAATTTCCATAAGGCATGTGGGGGACATGTTGGGATGATTGATATCAGGTCGCACTGCGTCACCAGACACTCTTCAGAAGCTCCGACATGCATTACCATTGAATCATTACCGCAAAAACCATTACCACTATCACCATCACACATTCTAGAAGTTGACTTCACTCTATCCCAGCTTTAATTCACTTCAATTCGCAATAGGCTGGTTGCGTGCGATTTTGTTGTTTTCCCTATATATAAAATATACCAATTGGGTTTCCTTAACCTACTCCAAGGCTTTATCCATTCAGTCACAGAGCCCTTCTACGCTTTACCTTAATCTGTGATCTGGTTTGTTTGATTAACAGTTCTACCCAAAGCTTCAGGATTTCGAAAGCATACTAATTTTTTTGCCCCCACTCCAGTGAGCTAGCTTCTGAGACCGCTTAATGTTGTTAAATAACCTGGAAGCAAATCCAAGCGAATGGGCTGTATGGTGTTTTTCTCCTTATGCTTTTCGGTTTCTGTCTATGAATAACTTGAATTCCTCAACCTTAATAACACATTCAGGCGAATCATCGTCCTGTCTGTGAAATTAACTACGGTAAGAGAAGAAGGTTTAAACAATTTTTTTATTTAAAACGTAAAATTGAACAAACGCACAACTTGTACGTACAATTTAAATCTCTTCAGCCTGTGGGATTTAAACTTATAAAGTATTTACATGCCATATTATTTACAGACTCTTTTAGCCAATTTTTTTCCTTTTTCTTATGATTTTAAATAACGATTTTTTATTATATATGTAAATTAGGTCTTCATTTCTTCAAGTCTTGTGATGCCAGACATTACCTATTTTTACACTGTTTTTCATTTTATTGTGAGCACGGTGAAAATATGTATCTTCAATCTCGCATTTATCATTTAAATTGAAGATACACTTCCGAATGATTTGGTTTTCAACGGAGACGATCGTTTTAAAGAAATTTGTTCAATACCAATGTTTTATTTATGTTGTCAGAAAACGATTGGTCATTTTCGACGGTGGTAGTCTTAAAGAAGTTATCATACAAGAA